AGCACTAGCTGATAAACAAGGCAACGTTTACCGAGTCGCGATCGACACAAGCCGATAAACCGGCAGCGAGGGCTCGGCGAGCGTGGACTCAGGGGCCACCGCCGACTGACCGCCGCACGTTCATGCCATGCTCGCGGCGCCACACGCTTTCCCGTACTCGGCAAGAGAGCCTGGAAACGGCGGGATGAAGCGAAGGAGCATTGACAACACGAATGCGCTAAGCCCATGCAAAGGCCTTCACGAACAGAAACACGTTAGAAAAGTGCCAACACGCGCTGCAACAAAATGAGTCCCGCAAACTCAATAATGTTCGGCCGCTTCACTTCTTTGCCACTCGCACCTTCTCTCCCTTGACGGCCACTGTCGCGGGGCATGCTGAAAAAATAAACCGCCGCGATGAGTAGAAATTGCTACAGCCGAACGCGGCGTAGCTCTCACTGTCAGTCGCCATTGGCTCAACCACCAGCATGGTGGCTGTGTTGTTCGACGTCATTTTGTGACGTAGGTGCAAGCCATGCGTTCTGCCTACGAGAATCAAGCAGCGAAATCAGACGACAGAGACGAAAATACCTTCTCTCAAAGCGGCGTTGCTGCTACGCGGCGTCAATTTCGTTGGAGTCCTCCTAGAGAGCCTGTATTCCAGACAGTTTACAACTTAGGACGGGGTAGAGCTAGTCATCGCATACGCAAGTCGGACGCTGTCTAAAGCGGAGAGGAACTACTCAACGACTGAAAGGAAGTGCCTTTCTGTCGTCTGGGCAAGAACAAAGTTCCGCCCATATTTGTATGGAAGTCCTTTTCGCGTGATCACAGACCACCACTCGTTCTGCTGGCTCGCGAATCTGAAGGACCCCTAGGATGCCTCGACATGTGGAGCCTACGACTGCAGGAGTTCGACATGACCGTGGTGTACAAGTCCGGCCGGAGGCACAATGACGCCGACTGCCTGTGAAGGGCCTCCATCGAGGCCGGTCCTGCCTGCACCGAAGACAACGACGATTAGTGTTTGCTCGGCGCTCTGGATGTCAGCGACATGGCAGCACTCCAACGAGACGACCCTGAACTGCGAATACTCATCGATCACCTAGAGGGACAAGCAAGTACGGTTCCCCGTGCTTTCTTACGAATCCTGCCTACCTTCTCCATTAGGCAAGGGGTGCTGTGCAAGGAGAACTTCGACAACAACAAGACAGCGTGGCTTTTGGTTATTTCTTCCAGCCTTCGACAAGAAATCTTTCAAGGATTCCATGACGATCCAACGGCTGGAAACCTTGGCCACAGCAGGACGCTCGCCAGGATTCGGCAAAAGCACTAATGGCCGAGGCTACCGGAGATCGTCCACATCTACACTCGTTCATGTCACGAGTGTCAGCGACGCAAAAGCCACCGACAAAGCTGTCAGGACTTCTGCAATATTTTGTTCACCCGTCCACGCCATTCCAGCAGATCGGAATGGATTTACTCGGCTCTTTTCCGCCGTAAACATCGGGAAACCGCTGGATAATCGTCACGCTATACGCCGCAACGAAAGCCCTTCCTTCAGGGGCTGCTATGGAAGACGCCAAGTTCTTCATCAAGTCCATCGTCCTCCGGCGCGGAGCTCCCGAAGTTTTGATTACAGATCGCAGGTCAACGTTCATGGCACAGCTGATGCAAGAGATCCTCCGTCTCAGACACACCAACCACCGGCGAACCACAGCGTACCATCCTCAGACTAATGGGCTAACGGAAAGCCTAAACAAGACCATCGCCGGCACGGTGTCGATGTACGTCGACGTGGGGTGAGGTCCGGCCGTATGTCACTTTCGCCTACAACACAGCGGTGTAAGAGACCACTGGTGTTACACCATTCTAACTGGTGCATTGTCGTAAGGTAACAACGATGCTTGACACCACGCTACCTCACGCCGGCGACGGAGTGACGAAGCTCAGGTGGCTGCGCAACAAGAAGTCTGCCAGCTCGCCCGAGCCCGCGGATCCAAGACCAACAGCGTGTCGACGCTGGCCGCTAAAACCTTCGTCGTCTGGACGTTCATTTTCAGCCCGGAGACCGGCTGTGGGTGTAGACACCTATACGACGTCGTGGCCTCAACGAAAATATTTTAGAGCGCTACTTTGGACCATACAAGGTCCTTCGACGCCTAGGGGATCTCAACTACGAAGTGGTGCCCGACGGAACGCACGCATCATCGCGACACCGACCACGACCCGAGGTGGTTCACGTCGGTCGACTCAAACGATGCTACGCTCGATAGGACTGTGTACTTTTTGTGTTCCAGATGACCTTTGGTTTACCGTTCTTTTGATTTGCTCGGTTCTGTTTTGTGTTGCATCGGGGCGATGTAATGTTTAGAGGGGGGAGTAATGCCGCGCGCGCAGTCGGCCAGGTAGGCAGCGCGCCCGTGGCCGAACGGTCATCGTGCTTCGCTCCCACACAGAGAGCCGAGGTTCCATGCCTGGCCGCGGCTATACCTTTTCGTTGTTTCTGTGGATGTTGCGTCCTGGTAGATTCAAGAACCCTGTTTCTTATTCGAGGCTAGAATAATCTGCGCGCCGAACCTTCTGCGCTGATTGTTCCAAAAGGCCACGCGTGTGCATGAGGGGCTCCGCGTGGCATGCCGGGGTCAGTCTCGCCGCAGCGCTCGATCCTGCTGACCTTCTTCTATTTGGTTTTGGGCACAAGCTCGCCCCATTAAACGCTTGGTTTTTCTCAGTTATTCGCCACCTCACCATTTGCAATTCGTGACAATACAATCCTCTCGCCTTGCTGTAGATTGCAAACGTCGCCCCAGCAGCTTACATTAAAATTAAATTTCATGTAACCTTTGCCCTTCATATCGGTGTACTCCTCTACGAAGTGCGTAATACTGGAGCAAGTGAAAGTGGCGTAGGATAGGCCGCGCCTCTTCCCTCTTAAGGAATTTATCAGTTTAAATTTAACGTGGCTGATATGTCCTCGACCCAACCAATTGCAGATGAGGACACTCGGTATAAAGGGATGTAGAAAGCGGGAACAATTGTTTACTCCGAATTCCCGAGTAGAATAGAACGAAAAAAAAATCAAATAAAAAACTTATTCTCTGCTTTTGATACTCTCGGACTAATCCTCCGCTATTGCTTCGCGCAGTTTCGACTATTGTGGGCTCTGCAGTTTTCGGAGGGTGCCCAGCGTTTTTTTCGGGGGCATGGACGGCCTTTGGCGTGAGCCGAGGAAAGGCCACACCAGGCCCGGCGGCTACCCACACCCCGCTAACCATGTAGACGTGTCGTCCTCCCTCTTTGTGCTATCGCTAGTTTGGAGGGAAACTCAGTCGGTGGAATGTCCAAGATCGGGCCCCTGAATATCCAGTCAATTGTCCAGCTAAGGCGCCAGGCTTTTCTGTCGGACCGCCGCCATTGAACCACGCAACGCGCGGCTCGCCCGTCGACTTTGGGAGAAACGTGAACGTCGCTGGTAACCAACTTGGTGACTTTAGATACAGAAGTTCCACGACCAAAATCACTTGACTACTCTAAGACTCGGCTAAAATTTGTGGTATTTTTGTTTCCAAACCAAGTTTGCCAGATGCGGAAAGCGTATATATAACTTTTTTTTCTTGTTTTGTTTTGGTTCGTCAGAATTCAACCGATTAAAAAATGTATCGCAATTAAAGCATTAATCGATTGATCGGAAGGTTAATCGGTCATTCACCCAGCCCTAGTTTTTCTTCTGCGAAGTCTCTCGCACTTTCGTTCGTTTCCCCGTTCTTTCCCGTTCGTAGCAGTTTTGACCCACTTCCCGGCCTTCTTCTCCCCATCTGGTTGTCGTTTGCTGCTGTGCCCTTTTCGTTTTTTTTTTTTTATGTTATTATTTGGCGTCATGTTATGACAGCACTCGCGTTCTTTTCCTCGGCTTCCCTTAGTTTTCGTAGTCTGACGAAGGGCGTGCGCCCGAAACGTCGCTTGTTTCATTTTCCCTTCTTTTAGGACGTCTTATGTCTTACGCTTTCATATTTTGTTGTCATGAGCTGTCTGGGGCGTGCCGAAGCCGCGCATTCTAAACGATTTACGAGACATCCTCAAATTCGTAGCGCATAGAAGCTTATAAATCTCGTCACGCTGACATCTAACAGTAACTGAGGTATTCTTCCAGAGGCTTTGCTCGAACACTTATACTCTCTGGTCGACTATACATCAAGTTGGCAGGGCTTACTCAATGGACTTAGCTCCCTTCCCCAACCCACACTCTAAAAAAGCCCGTGCGTCTGCTTTCCCGCACGACACTCGGAGAGCCAATCAGCGCAACTTACGAAGGCAGCTCAGCGAATGACGATGCCGAAACATATGACGAAAATAATCCCTGGAGAAGGGGAACAAGATGGACAAAGGAGATTTGTGTTTGTCCTTGTCCCTCTTGTTCCCTTTCTCCAGGGATTATTTTCGTCATTCTTGTCCAGCTCGCTTGCATCTTTGCATTTAATTCCATTATAATCATCACCGAAACATATGTTTAGAGCAAAATATGCAGTCTGAGTCGTGACATTAAGAAATGCAAGCGTCACGTTTTGCATAGCTTAATGTCACAACTTCGGTCTAAACATATGTTTCGGCGGCGTCGTTCGCTGAGCTGCCTCCGTAACTTGCGCTGAATGGCTCTTCGAGTGTTGTGCGGGAAAGCAAACGCACGGGCATTTTTTAGAGCGATGCATTCCCCTCACGTAACTGATGACGAAGGTCAAGGGTTGCCGGCACCCCCCTCTCTCTATTTTTTTTTCTGATAAATAAAACATTGCCTCACTCACTCATTGAACAACAATACGGAGCACGAGCGTCTGCAGTGGAATGCCCAGGCTTCGTATCAGTTTCTGTCCTTATATTCTTCCTTCACCAGCCATCAAAAGGCTGCCAGTAGCATTTAACGACGCTATACTCTTAGCTGATGATAATTATCGAAGTGGCCAGTCTGAATGTCGGAAAGGATCTTGTGAAATAATGAAATCATCGCCCTATTTTTACAGGAGCCAGAAGAAGAGCCGGCACAATCATGAAAATCATCCTGTGTTTAGGTAAGGTTCCGGCTTCTTTATTTTTTTTTTTTTTCTCCTGTAACAGAACAATTTATCTTCCAGTTCTTGTGGCCATTCCTCTGACCAGTGGAAGACCAAGGGTGAGAGAACCTTTTATTCGCCACATCATATGCTAGCTCATAAGTCCTCGGCACCGTGCTCATTCGACGAATGCAGCAACGCACCGGAACTTCGTAAAATAGTACATGCCCTATCATTCAGGGAACGCACATCAAACGAAATGTTATATCATTGCGCGAATATGTGTTTCTTCGGGAATGGCAAGGTCAGCTAGAGAGGGTGTTTCTCTATGACAGAACATATGGGTGTTTCTATCACTGAGTCAAGGGTTTGGAGCAGAGTTTCTAATTTTAATAAAACAAATATGTTTTCCGAGCGTTCTTGAATGAATGAGAGTGCGAACGGCGGATTTATGTTTTCAATTTACTTACCCTTCGAGCGGCGAAGGCAAAATCTGACGTTTCTCCCCCCAGTCGAGGATCGCATGCATGTTTCACCGATCGCTCTTTTGTAAACTTTTCCTACGACTGCACTTGGAGTCTTCTGCGACACACTCAAAATAAATTTCAGTGTGCTTCATTAATTAAAAACAAAATCTTTGAAATATAGACAAATTTAGAAAACAAATATGTCCAACTATGTCCCTCTGATGATTTTGGGCAAAGTTTGAAAGGTTCACACGTGTGACCTACTTGAGATATTTTAATGACCTTGATATAATTAAAAAGCTGTAACTCTGAACATCTCAATGAAGGCGAAACAACTCACACTCATAAAAATAGCCGAAATCAACGAGCTACGCGGTGCATAAATCGCTCTTCGTAAACGCCAGCAGCCATGTTTCTCATTGTTTCGAAACCGACGCGGAAAAGGCGATCTCGTGATATCTTAACAATAGAGTGACTATTTATATCATTTGTTTCTTAAACGTAAAAGATGTCGAATATGAGACCACCACGGCAGGGAGAAACAATTTTACGAAGAACATTCCATACGTCAATCGTCTCTTCCACCAATGACAGCCGAGAAACGGAGCGTAGCTAGCTAAAGATATGAATTTCGCTAATCGAAGTGGCCTAGACCAGGGCTACCTAAATAAAATCTAAATATTTCAGGAGCTTTTTTTTTTCTTTTTTTTTAACATATGAGAGCTTAACGACGCAGAACACAATTTGCCGCTCGAAATTCGTTTTCTTTTCGCGCGAAAACCGGCGATTCAAAACTCGCCGGTTTGAGTCGCGCTCACTCTCTTCTCCGTGGTCGCGTGCCGTTTTCTATGGTTTAGACACAATCACCAAAAATTAATCAAAGCCGTCTAGGTCATCGAAGGCAGGCACACATTATTAAAAATAGAAAAGAAATATGATACCAATTTTTTTATGGCTTCTAACAAAGCTCCAAATGCGCTGTTTGGAGGAAAAAAAGTAACACAGCCACGTGACTTTCGCCACCTCTCTCCTCCTCTATATTTGTCCTTCCTCCCCAGTAAAGTTTCGGTTTTGATTTTGAGCAGTTTGTCCGTTGTTGTTTTTACTTCGTTAAAAGTGCATGTGCCGCTGTAGCAAAATATTGGTTAGGTAGCCTTCTGACAACAAAAGAATCGCATAAACTTTTGGGGGGTGTCAATGTCCTTTTAAGGCTGGAATGAATCTAAAACATAAACCGAACATCGCACGGAATTCAGTACATGCAAAAATTGCTTCCTGCTATCTTGGAGAAACCAGGGTATTTACTGGGTTAAAATAGAAAATATGTTTGGTTTTAAGACTATTGAGAATTTTTGTGCGATAAACACCAGCCCGTGGTTCGTTTTTAATACGTTAGAATTCGTAGCCACACGACAGGAAAAAGCGGAAGGCGTCCGTCTGCGGACAAAACAGCGAAAAGGGAAGCGCGTGGAGAGGAGGAGAGTAGCCAAGGACAAGGGCAAGAAGGAGGCGACGTCACGGGCTGGAAGCCAATGAGCGCGTGGATGCTGGGGCGAGTCTGAACTTGCAGGTGTGCGAGGCGCCTCGGTTCGTGCTACAAAAATTAAAGGAAGATCCATTGGTGGATGCTTAGGGAATGCGGTAGCATAACCCTTGGGAAACGCTAAAGGCCCGTTCACACTCTTGCGACCGAGTTAGGTAGAGAAACCAGACCGGTTTTTAAGCCTCTTGCGATCTTTTAGGACCAGCTCCGCGCTGCAGCGCATCCGGTCCTAAGAAGTCGCAAAATGCTTAAAAACCGGTTTGGTCTCTCTCGGTCGAAGTCGGTCGCAAGAGTGTGAACGGCGCTTAACGCTGACTACGTAACGAAGCCAAAAAGAGGCAGCAAAAAAATAAATTAAGCAAAAGAGAAAGCCAAAAGAAAAGTGAACGGGTCACGTTAGCGTTTCCCAAGGGAAACGCTAACGTTGTTCCAAAGGATTTTTTTTCTTTATTGCACTGCCTAATGGCGTGAAACTGTTGTCTGTTTGCTTTTGGTTTTGGTCTCTTCGATTTTTAATATTTGTGCGATTTACGCATGGTTTTAATCACACACGGTGTTGCTGCCTTTCGTATCACTTTCATACTGCCACAGCTACCGAAATTCGCTGCCTGATAACTCGAAGAAGTGTTTTTCATCAAAACTACCAACTAATCTAGAATAACAATTAACGACGGCCTGCAAATCTCTAGTTGAAATATATCAGCTAAAAATAACTTAAAAAGTTAGTAAGCGTGTTTCAGTTAATTAAGCCACCACTTCTTTCTTTGTACCCGAGCCCTGACGTCCGCCGAAGTCGATTCCGCAGGAAGAATTTCTCCTTTCTGTTTTCCTTCTTCTTATATTTTCCGTCTTAGAAACTTTTCAGAATCAACAACATATATAGCAGACTGTCGGAGGTGTGGCAAGCGTAATCAAATAAATAACAACTTGCATAATTGAGCGGAACGTAAGCAAATGCTATGGATCTACAAGATGGATTAGCCAGCTCTAATATATGTCGAACATTGGGATTTAGGCCAGAGTTACTACAAGGAACTCTGCGAAACAGGCAGTGGGCCTTAAAAGTCGATAAAACAGAAAAATGTAACTGAGCACTCTGCTGTGTAAACTGATTGCACAACAGATGCTCACCTCTCCCGTATTTTCAGAGCAAGCGTGAGGCTTACGACCTCCCAGACGGCGCCGAGCTAATCGTGGGGTCTATCAAGACTTCCTTCACGTGTCCGGCCAAGATCGGCTACTTCGCCGACGTGGACAACAACTGCCAGATCTTCCACGTGTGCAACCCGGTCACCTACCCCGACGGAAAGTCAGAGGTGCTGCAGTACAGCTTCTTCTGTGGCAACCAGACCGTGTTCAACCAGCTCAGCCTGACGTGCGCCTGGCCGGAGGAGGCCGTGCCGTGCAAAAACGCGCCAGATTTCTTCTACGTGAACGACAACATCGGCATCCCCGACGCACCGTTCCTGACCGACGCAGACGTCCAGAAGGCTGCTCAGCTGATCCCCGGGTACGGACAAAGCAAGGCAGCCGCGTCCAACGTCCTCGAGTCACGAGTGCCCGCCGGACGAGGTCGGAAGTAGGCCACGCTTTTAGCCATCCATGGCGCGCCCTCCGGATGCACTGCTTGGAAGCCAGGACCGCCGGTTCGCTTTCTTGGGCCAGGCGGCGCTCGAAGTAATGGCGCTACTAGCGGCGCTTCGGCGATCTGTTGGCTTTTGGTTATGGCCTTCTTGCTCAAGTTGGTGCTTCCCGGACCTTTCTCCGAGCTTCGGTAGGTGCCTGGTCCTTCTCGGATGAGCCAACGTTCCGAGTGGTTTGTCGCGCATCCTTTGGATCCTTCGCTGATGACTCACGGGGTCAAGACGCCATCTTTTCCTGTGGAACGCCGATCGTGTAATACGGCCTGGTGTTCAGGACAAGATCGCGCTTGGATGCTGATCGTTTTCATTGCTACCTCTCGGGCTATGGTGGGGCTCTCTTGCTCATGGCAGTGGCTTGGGCGAAGGTGCCCTGGAGACTGCTGGACACGGTCAACTCGAATAGGCTTCTTCGCATTGGACTCCTACAGCGTAGTGACGAGAACCCAAGGGCCCAAGAGAAGCATGTTCCATCCCGCTTTATGACAACCTCCAAGTTGAGAGAGAAAACTGGGAAAACTCGCCTCTTTGTGCTGTGGCGCGCTCAAGGGAAGGGAGGCAGGAGAGCTTTCCTGGCACAGTGTAGTATTGAGCTGTGTTGTCAGCAATCAATGCTTTGCGAGATGCACGCTGCAGGATAGCGGCAGCAACTTTCCTGTTATATGTTGATGCTTTTGTAAAGTTGATTTCATATAAACTTGCGCACCATGCTTGTTTTATAATGGCCCGCAGAGAATAAACCAATGTTTATTTGATCTCAGCTTCTTGGGTATGTTAGTGGGAAGCTAACGGCAATTATTGCATTTCGTCCAAGAGATCAATTTCGAGATGATACCTGCAGCACTCTAAAAACACCCCAAGCGATTTTCTATGACAGTCATATCTATAGTTATGACAATCCTATGTTTGATTCGTGCTTGTTCATTCCTAGTTTCTCCTATTTTCTTCAAAACGCGTAGCTAAACGAAAGTCGCTGTTTTGATGTATTTTTGTGTGTGAAAAAACAGAAGCCAAAAGAAGACGCTACTTCGTATGTGATCACTTTGATTATGAACAGCTCGCGATTTCAATTCGTGCTATCGCCTAACATCTGAATAAGGTACGTGCGTAATATTATAGCTAAAATTTAATCGTTTCATTTAAACATCATTTTATTCCACGGTTCAGTTTTAATTCCGATAGCATTTGAAAACTGGAGCAACTATAGTGAAACACTACTTACCACCCAAGAACATTGGTCACCCCACCCTACAGAGTGCCGAAATAAGGTGAGTAGCGCAACACAGGTGTTCACTCCTGGGTCTATCGCCACAACACTGGGGCAGACGGCCCGGCCACAACCTCCGGTGTGAGGGGCAGGTGGCCTGGTCACGGCTTCCTGCGAGGGAGCCGTGACCAGTCAAAACCTCGGACAAACTCCTGCAGGACCACGTCGGTATCCGTCGAAAAAAATTCTCTCGCATTTAAAGAGCCCGAGAAATGGAGTATGTCTCATTCCTGGGCATCAGTTGTGGATCATCCGCCAAGCCCAGAGGCCACCGTGCTCGAGCCTCTGTTCGGATGGATGGATGGATGGATGAATACAGCTGAGCCCTTTGGATCGGGCGGTAGCTTACGCCACCTAGCCATTTTGTTTTACCATTTAAGCTTAGAATATTTAAATGTGAAATCTATATTCACTCCGCAGTGCAAAGAAAGTGAGGCTATGAAACCCCCTTGCCATCAGTGAATAAGAAAATACCTAGTTTTCTCTCGATTTCTGCCACCATTCACTTAATCTTTGCTTGGTAATCTCTACAGTCTTGAAATCCACTCTCCCTTCGCTGTCTCTAAAACCCAATGACTTTATTAAATCTATGTTGTCTTCGGTAGGCATAGGGTGAAGCCCTTTACAGTGGAGTATCAAGTGCTCAGCCGTCTCGTCCTCCTCTCCACAAGCAGTGCGCACTGTATCCATTTCCTGGTACTTCACTCTGTATGTTCTGGTTCGCAGAACACCCGTTCTTGCCTCAAACAGCAATGAGCTGTTTGAGCTGTCCAAGACATGTAACGCCATCTCACGGCGCTTGTCAGAGCTGTGAGTGAATCTTCGCCACGCTTGCAAAACGGCGAGGCGGTGCCGTTCAGACACCTCCTTGGGCGTCCGCAGAACTTTTTTTAAGGGGGGCAAACCCCATCTTTTCCGGGGGAAGGTATGCAATTAGCTTTTCAGACTTGAGCAATTAATCCGAGTTCTTTGGTCGTATTCTTCTGCTTTCATGGACGGAAATAAAAGGAACGCCAGACTGTCAACTTTGACGCATTCATCAACATGAACAGCTTCCGCCATGCTGGTTACACATACCAGCGGGCGTTCCCATTTCCTAATCCTAGTCAGACCGTCCCGAGTAGGGAGCTTAAACCTGCGGTCCCACTGCTCCTTACAAAAGGCACAACATCTTCGAGGCGCTTCATACATACATGGAATATGTCTGCAGGCAGTTTTAAAGCGATAGCGTCAAAGAGCTCGTGTTGCAGAAAAACCGGGGTTGGTGGCGTGACGCGAAAATCCTGATTGGTCGGTAGGTTCATGACGTCACAGCCACATGACCTCGCGCGGGAATTTCAAACAACCCACAACGCTCACGTCAAACGTGACGTCACGCGTATATTTAAACTGATTAAAAAACATGACATGTAATGCGGCTTCAAGGCCGCCGCATGTCTCAAATGATTTCACTTTATAAAGTAATTCATTTTCCTTAAATAAAAATTTTAAGAATTTTAGGCGGTATTCGAACCTCACTTCCTGCTCACTGGCAAGATGAGTATGAGAAGCGAATAAGAAGGCGATGCGAACGGGGCCCAATAACGCCTATCATGTTCCAGTACTCTTAAAGGCGAAGCTTAAGCGTCCTCCAAGCTTTTGTATGACCGATGTCATACAAGGAACGCCTCAGACAGTGTCTTTGTGTGATGTATGGTCAGTGTGAGCGCGGCCCAAGAGTACGCCACCGAAACATCTCGTCGTCAATGCCCTCTGGAAGACCATGGACTAACTTCCAGCGTGGCCTCGGCCTCCGTTCATATGCCTGGCATGTTCGACAAGTGTTCACCTTTCTTGCAATGTCGACGTTGATTCGCAGCCAGCAGACGTCACTAATGGCCGTCACAGTCATTTTCTTCATTTCAGGATGATTCTCGCACAGTGCCCGAAATAGGCAACGAAATATCTTGTTAGTTCGTCAAAAGTCGTGACCCGCATGGAGCGTTTTTGTCGCAAAAACGCGACGTGCGTTCAACACCAACGCAGGTTTACCCGCATGCAGGGATGAACAGCTGCCACCGCGCCTGCTCTCAGCGTGCTCTCAGGCTTCCTAAACTGCAGCACGTGTAGAGAGTATGCTCGTGTATACATATGTTTGTTCTGGGTTATCGAGAAGTCACAGGTTAATTGTTAATTTGGGTAATGAACGAGTCAATATTGGCACGTGCTTTTGACTTTTTCCTCGAATATCATTGTTAAGAGGGTGATAATTTTACACAGTGCACTGAGCATTAAATTAAGAAGTTGACGAGAGCTTTTGCGAATTTGTTGTTTTAAAGTCTTTTTTTTTTTATAAAATGTTTTGTGGTACAAATTGCCTCACTTTTAAGACACAATAAACCATATGCGAAACCGTTTGGTGGTCTGCCAGGACCGTGAGCGGGGCCATCTTGGAAGCGTCAAGCTTTTTGAGTTTCGGTTTCTCGGCATTTCCAGGGCCGGGACGCTCTGCCACTGATTGTGATTCAGCAGCTTTATTGTATTCTCACTTCCGATCACCCAACGTGGACAAAGGACCAGGCCGTCATCTCTTTCATCTCTGAGGACACTTTCAATTCTTTTTTTCGATGCTGTATGAAGTCGTACTGTTTCGCGGTATATAGACTGCTCCACACCAATACACGCGACTCAATGTTAGTTGTTGTTGTTGTTTTGTTACTGGCGAAAATTTTAATTTGTGGAAAGCTCCGAGTTCTTGGAAAGGAAACTATGCCTTGCAATATATGTATGTGTTGCAAAGAGCGTATATTAGTTTCAGATAGCATCGGCCTCTTGCATGCAATCGACGGATGTCGGGCTGATTAATGAAGATTTGTTCAACCATGGCAGAATAATTGCATTTATTTTCCCAAAACTACCCCCTGAGTTTCTTTGCACTAAAGAAATATCTAACCTCGGCTGCGACAAAAAAGAAAAAAAAAAAAAGAGGCCGTGAAATGAAGTTGGCATCGCGCGTGTTGCTCCACTCGGCGTCTGGACCGTCACTTTTTGTCGCCGCCGCCATCGATGTTTTAGTCACTGCGATGAACCTAAGCAAGTGATGCCATCGAACGTAGCGCTGGACCAAAAAACAGCGAAATCCCGTCTCTGTGAGAGTTGAGCGCACAGTTTAGTTTTAGAGGCGTTTTACCAACCTCCTTTATACCGACGCCAGATCAAGTATATATTGATCTAGATTTATTTTCGGTGCTCCCAAAGTCGAAATAGAAATCGCTGCTAAGCGATGCGACTGCCTTCTGGCTATCCAAAGTAATTTTTTTATATATATATATGTATATGAGATTAAAATGCAGGACTCTGTGGTGTTTTCAGCTTTTGTTGTCCACTGTTAACCACTTCAATCATGGTTGGTGGCGTAGATTGTTAAAACTGTCGCCTTTTTGCCTGGTCTCGTCCGGATACATTAAGCTGCTTTCGCACAAAAAAGAAAACGCAGGCCGACACTACCAACGTGCACCAACAATAAAACACAAATTTAGAAACAAATCCGGTAAAACTTGGTATAGAGATTGGGGCCCAGTTAAATAGAGGCAAATGGGTTCCCGCCGTGCGATAACGTCCGCATGTTTCTTCGCGTTGTCACCGATTGTTTTCGTCAAAAGCTGCGTGTTAAGTAACAAATAAAAATAAGAAAAATTGTGAACCTTGTTCACGCTTGCGTTCACGTCAGGTAAGAATCGAAAGATTATCGAGTTGCATACGCAGCAGAACGCAGCAACGCGTTGGCATCGCATCTCTTGCATGAAGCGCAGTCGTTTGTTTACATGGGTTCTTTGCCGGTCGGATCACTGCACTGGCTTTGTTTTCTCGCCGCTACCAAGATGGCGGACATAAATTGTGACAAAAAAATCGACGACTTCAGTACCAAGCAAGTTTACGTACAAGGACTATGAAGGTGCCGACGACACAAGCATTCTTGATCATTTGGAAATATCATTTAATTCCTTCGAGTTATTGTGTAGTAGTGGTGATGTTCAGCGTGCATGGAATCACTTTAAGGACACAGTCATTGCATAGATAAATACGTACCATTTAGAGTGAAAAAGCCGAGGAGGAATAATCCTTGGATCACAAGAAATATAATACACATTAAACGAAAATTGAAAAGATGTAGAAAAAAGGAGGATTTAAGTGTTAGCATACGGCAGCTAGGCCAACAACTTAAAGAATTGGTAAAAAAAGTCAAAACATAATTACCTTTAAGTAACTCTTCGTAACTTCTTAAGTAACAACCCCCAAAAATTCTTGCGATACCTGAACCCGAAAAAAGAAAATATTGGACAAATCACCCTGGACGGAAAAATAGTAACAGATACTACCGTTCTTGCAGATAGTTTTAACCTGTTATTTTCAGTCAGTATTTACACGCGAGACACCACACGGTAATCTGGGAAACATGACTAAAAGAAGGGCAGGACAGAATGTCGGTGATATAGAAACAGGGTCAGA